CGGGGCCGCAGGGGTAGGCGACGGGGCTAGCAGAGGCAGGGCCGGGTCGGGAAGAGCGGCGTCGGGGTCGCCGGGGTAGGCGACGGGGCCAGCCGAGGTGGCGCCGGGGCCGGGAAGGGCCGAGCCGGGGCTGCAGGGGCAGGCGACGGGGCCAGCAGAGGTGGGGCCGGGTCGGGAAGGGCGGTGTCGGGGTCGCCGGGGTAGGGGACGGGGCCAGCCGAGTTGGCGCCGGGGCCGGGAAGGGCGGAGCCGGGGTCGGGAAGGGCGGCGCTGAGGCCGTAGGGGTAGGTGACGGGGCCACTAGGGCGGCGGATCGGGGCCGCGAGGTCGGCGCGACGCGGCCGCTAGGGCAGCGCGACGGGGTAGCGGGGCCGCGCGCCTCGGAGCGCGCGCCAGAAATGGCTTCGCGCCATTTTTCTTTATGTTCCCCCCCCAGAGCCTGCTGAACCGTCGCAGGCTCTTTAGGAGCGACGGAGCCGTGGACTGCGGTGACGAGCCCGAGGATCTGCAGTCCACTCTGTGAGTAGCGGGGAAGATTTACATCCTCGGGATAAGCTGCTTCGTCTCCCGATTCTGGATCAGGTATGAAATTCGGTCCTACTTGTTCTGCTTCGTTGGTGTTGACTGTCGCAGGTTTTACGTAGCCGTTGTCGGCGAAGTGGTAGAAGGTTTCGGCGTTGGCACTTTCGCGAGGGTTGTCTTCGTCCATGGGAACGTTGACTTAGCAGAACGGAAGAGGTCCGGCTTCTTCTGATGCGTTGTCCACATTCTGCTCGTCCCAGTCTGCTTCGTCCGCTGCTGAGGCGAAGGCTCGGTCACCACGAAGGCCACCTGTGGGGTCTTCGTCTTCTTGCAAGTTGGCAAGGTACGTCTGGAGCGTGAGTCGTTCATAGAAAATTACGTCATGTGCTGCTACTGTTTCCTTTGAGTGGACGTCGAAGATTTTCCACGCGTTGCAGTTCTTTTCGATGCCCAGGTGTAGTCCCCACGGTGCTCGTTGAGAAAATCGGCCCGCTCGTGCTGCTGGGGGTCGGTACTGTACCATGCACCCGAAAACTCGTAACATTTTTGTGCTGCCCTGTTTCCCTGTCCATAGCGGATGCGGTGATGCGTTGTTCGGAAGCGATGACGACGACAGCAAATTGTGCAGCATGACAACGTGGTCCATTGCTGCAGGCCATTGGTGGTTGGGTAGCCGCATGCCACGTAGCAGTTTGCGCATGGTGTTCTGCAGGGTCCTGTTCATTCTCTCTGCTACTCCTTGCTGCTGATGGGCGTAGGGAAGGGAGATGAGCTGCTTGATTCCCCTTTCCGCCAGGTACTGCTTGAACCGCTAAGAGGTGTATTCTCCTCCTCCGTCTGACTGGAAGCTTTTCAGTTGTACGCCCGACTCTCTCTCTCTCTGCTACTGGTAGCCAGGCAACGAAGGCTGCGAATGCCATGTCGCGGCTGGGTAGGTTTAGGTGCCAGACGTAACGGGTGGCGTTGTCGATGAAGGTGATCGTGTAGTTGTATGTGACTTGTCATGGTTCCCGATTGAACAGGATATCGCTATACACCTTCTCGAGTGGTGCGTACGCGGGAGCGCTTGGGTTGTGATGTGACGCGAATGGTCGATGCGGTAAGTCGCCTTCAGGGCAAGTGAAGCACGGTCCTCGCGCTCGTTGAAGTTCTTGTCCGTCGGTTAGTAGGAGCGAGTCCTTGTCAAGTACTCCTGCTCTTATTGTATTGTTTAATACTGTGTTGCTTGGGTGTCCCAACCGTGCGTGCCAGGTGGTTTCGTTGGCGCGATGTCCGGGTGATCGTCGGTACATGTCGGAGTTGGAGTAGAAGCTGGCGGTGAAGTTGGTGCTGCGATGAACTTCCCATGGTGCTGGGTGCAGTTGTTGCGCTAGTGTTGGTGGTGTGTCGTCGATGAGGAGTGGTGTCGTTGAAGGACCAGCAACTGGTGTTGACATTCTTGCTGCTGCCGTTGATGGTTCTGCTGCTGCCGATGTTGTCTCTGCTGCTGCCGATGTTGTCTCTGCTGCTGCCGATGTTGTTTCTGCTGCTGCCGATGTTATCTCTGCTACTGCCGATGTTGTTTCTGCTGCTGCCGATGTTGTCTCTGCTGCTGCCGATGTTGTCTGGATTGTTGCTAACGCCCTTGTTCTTTCTGCTTCAGGGATGGTGTGTGAGTACCAGAAGCCTTCTAGACTTAAGTCCTGATCAAGGTCCGAAGGGTGTGTCCAGTCGGTGAAGTTGACGATGGCGTCGCTGTCGGCAGTGCCAAGGTCAGGGACGAAATCAAGAACGAAGACGTTGTTCTTGAGGACCGCCCTGCCGATGTAGAGTCCTCCTCTCCCATGATACAGCTTGAATTCTTGAGTGGTACTGTCTGCTTCGAGATGAATCCCCTTCGCCATCAGCTGGCTGACGCTCAGTAAGTTGTAGCCGAGTCCCTCCGCGATTAGTACCTTTGACATCTGTAGTACGACGTTTGTTTCCCTTGACTGAAGTTGAACTATGCCTTGTCGTCGTGTTCGCAGGTTTTGGTTGTTGGCGACTGTAATGACGACTTTGCGTTGAAGCTGGTGTTCTCGTTGAACGAAGCGTCCTGAGGAACACATGTGCTGTCCGCAGCAACTGTCCAAGAACCAAGTGTCCCTTCCGGATGGTTTGCTTTGAGCGATGGCGGCGTATGTCGGGTTCGGCTCAAGTGACTCGCGGCGGGGTGTGGTTTCGTCGAGTTGTTCTTCCGGTGAGTAGTGTGGTGGTGACTCGGTGATGCAGGAGTCTGTTTATCTTTGTCATGCACCTGACGATGTTTCTTGCTTCTTGTGCAGGTTGTCCTGTTGAAGTCTTTGAAGCTTGAATCTGAGTCGTAGGATTTGTTTGCGTTGAGGCGACTTGGCTGCTTGAAGGCCGAAGTTGCCGCTGCGGGGTTGTTGATTGTTGACGATTCGGGCAGTGTGTGCGCGGGTGTCCTGAAGTTTTGCAGATGTGGTAGAACGGAGGTACTGGCTTCAGTTGTTGCTGCCGGTTGTTGTTGTTGTTGTTGTAGCGTCGCTGGGTGTGGAACGCGAACTCTGGTGCTGAAGTCTTCTTTCTGTGTCGTTCTTCTTGCAGGTCCATGTCTTGCTGCTCGGCATGGATTTCGGCGCAGAGCGCTGCTTCGGAGATTCTTCCGTCAGCTCGGAGGATGGCTTTTGTGGCGCGCCATTGAGGACGGAGGCCGCCGATGATGACTGTCACGAAGGCGTCTTCAGAAATCGACCCTCCGTATCGAAGAAGCTTGTCGCGCAATTCGCGACATCGACTGATATACGCCATTCCTTTCTCCCCTGGTTTCATTTCAACCGTTGTCAATTGCGCCATTAACCGACTTTGACTTACACTGTCTGTTGCTTGATACAGGCTCTTCAGGTGGTTGTACGCGAGCTCCGCGGAGTTACCGTAACCTCGGTAAGTCCTCATGTTCTGCTGTTGAGTCGGGGTGATATTTCTCAGTAGGATCGTGTACGCCATCATTGACTGATAGGTGTACTGCTACTTCTCGTACTGTGTGTCGTTTGTTGGGTATGGCAGGGACCCGTCGAAGAACCCGAATATCTGCGCGCCTTCCATCATCAGCTCAAACTCGAACGACCAGGTGAAGAAATCATTTCCATCGAAAGGTCTTGACGTCTGCATCTTCAGAACATGTGTGAACTGCGACTGAACTTGTAGTGCGTCCAGTTGTTTTTCTTGTCCAGGTGAGGGCTTTGGGTGTGGCATGAAGCTGATGGATCCGCGCTCGTACGGAGCAAAGGTAGGCTGTTGTTGCTGATTTCCTCGTGCATACGATGAGCCATCGAGACTCATGGATGTTGCTCCGTTGTTGTTGCTGTTGTGTGATTGCACAGGTGCCGATTGCTGGTATTGCTCGTAGAAGGACATGAAGGAGAAGAACTTCTCCATCATGCTCTGGTCAAAGTCCGCAGGATGATTTGCGGGAGTCTCAGTAGATGTTGCTCTGGGTCTTGTTGCCGTGCCCTACTCTGTATGTAGGCCAGAGGCAGGAGGTGGAGTAGGAGTAGTGTCCTGGGATCCGTTAGAGTTGCTCCTTCCCTTTTGTGTAGCCATGCTGATTGACACTGTTGGTATATAAGTCGAACTCCCCCTGATAGCTCTCATACCATGTTGGGCTGAAAAAGCCCTTAGGATCTTAGCAGAGGTGAATTCTGGGTAGAGTTGGTGTAGTAGCGGAAGCATCTTAGTAAAGAGTTTGTGAACCACCTTGCGCTAGTATGTGAGGGCAAAGTGAATTGATTAAAGCAAAGAGATACAAGATTATATAAGAATACAAGGAATATGAAAGGATACGGTTATAACTGTTTTACTTGTTGCTCTTGCGGTTTGATACAGTGACGACTCGGGCAACTGCTCTGTAACGAGTCAGTTGTGTGTCCTTGCTATCGCGCTGTATTTGTCAGGTCAAAGGTCGCTGACCTTTGACTTTCGCGTAACCTCCAGCAGTTACTTCAACCTCCGAGGGTTGACTCGTTGGTGCCTCAATATGCTCTGCTTCGTTTGTGCCTTAGTGTTTCGACACGACAGAGGCGCTTAGGAACTATTGTTTCCAACACTCCCCTTCGCTTCTGGAGTGTCGCTGACGTGGCTCTGTCCATTCACACGTCGTTAATTCCTAGAGCTTCCGCTGCGCTCTAGCAACTTAACGACGTCCCTACGCGGGACTATTGGTCACTCAGAGGTAGCTCTCCTGGCTTGTAACGTGGTGCCAAAGCAGCGGCCGAGCGTAGGCCGGACACAAGCTTGAGAATTGTGTAATATGAGCAAGGCATTACATTCTGTTATATAGCAAACGCATAGGGCAAACAGTTACCAAGGCGCAACTGTATAACAGTTGCACTGCGTCGCTTGGGTTGCCTTGTTACAGTCGCGCTGGCAAGACTTTTCAGCTTCGGCAAGGGCGCGGTATCCTGCCGCGCCCCACAGGTCAGTTTCGCGTACTGTAGACGATGACTCCTGCTGTCGATTCGACTCTTGAGCTGCCACGCGGGTCGCAACCACTGTGTTCGGTTGCGGCCCGTTGACTCGCCACCAGGTTCAACTCCCTCGCTATGGCGAGCCCCTGTAAACACACTTCGAACAGTGCACTTATAATAAATGCATACAAACATATTCTCAACAGTCAAAGCCTCGAGGTGCAGATTCCGTGAACGAAGCCCTTCACAAAGCGGTTAGGGTTTGCTCGTGCCGGAATTTCCCATCCCGGGCTCGTCGCGCTGCTATTTCCTCCCTTCGCCTCCACTTCCCCCTCCCTTCGCCTCCACTTCCCCCTCCCGTTGCCTCCACTTTCCCCTCCCGTCGCCTCCACTTCCCCCTCCCATCGCCTCCACTTCCCCCTCCCTTCGCCTCCACTTCCCCCTCCCGTCGCCTCCACTTCCCCCTCCCGTCGCCTCCACTTCCCCCTCCCCTCGCCTTCACTTCCCCCTCCCCTCGCCTTCACTTCCCCCGCCCGTCGACTTCACTTCCCTCTCCCATCGCCCGCGCTCCCCCCTCCCATCGCCCTGCTCGTTCTCCCGTCGCCCTCTCTTCTCCGGCTCACCCTGTTTCCCCTGCTCCTTCTCTTCCCTCCGTCCCCCTCTGTCTGTCTCCCCTGCTTATTCTCTTCCCCCTCTCCCCCCCAATCCCCCACCCACTCTTCCTCAAGTTGTTGGTTCACTTGCGCTAACGCCTCCTGCACCAATGCTCCCCTTTTTCCCACTCCCACCATCCCCTTTCCACCCCCGCCTCCCCCCCTTCTCCTGCAGTCGCTGGTGCACTCGCGCCATCGGTGAGTGTGGGGCAGCAGCATCACCGGCGCCTCTGCCGCGCTGCTCCTCGCCTTCCCCGCCTGCTCTCCGCCAACCTCGCCTGCACTGCCCTCTCCCACCACCCGTCCATCCCTCCCTCACCACCCTGCACCTCTCCCACTGCCCCCTCCTTACCATTGGCTGCCCTCTCCCCTCCTCCCCCTCCTCTCCTCACTCCTCCTCCTCTTCCTCCTCCCCCCTCGCTCGTACCGTATTCTCCCGGATAAAACACCCTAGGGTATTATGAAAACCACCGGAAAAAAATGGGGGGGGTCTCCTCAACGGAAAATCCTGTATAATACCCGGGTCTTATTATATTGTATATTTTTTTATGAAGCAGAAATGATGTGAGACAAAATGTGGGGTGTCACTTCACTTCTAGATTGTTGATCGGTACCGCAAAACCGAGTATACGAGGATTACGTTGTCAGAATAATATATAATTCTATATATTGTTTTGTAACTGCCTGTAGTGTAGACTACTGTAGTCATCTAACTTTCTGTTTGGTGGTGCACCTTTCTTCATTCTTGCCTATTTGTACTGCTCGCTCTATAGTGAAACCACCCTCTTTTGTTGCAATCTTCTCGACTCACCCAAACTCACTCGAACTCAACTACTCGACCTACTAGCTATGGCTCCTATGTCAGAACATATAGCTTACTTGTTTCTGTAGGCTATAGTGGGGTATCCCATAGGGGGTACAACCCAATTAGGGTTTCATATTTGTACCCACTTCATTCCATAGTGCACCCATTCTCGTTCACACTTTCTCATGGAATCAGAGCAGGTCCCTTCTTAGGGCCTGTTCCTAGGGCCCACCGAAGCGCGCCCCGAGGCGCGCATTTTTTTTAGCGACCCTCCGTGTCGCCCTCCCCGTCGTGCTCCCGCTTAGGCCCCTCGTCGGCCCCGCCTAGGCCCCTCGTCGGCCCCGCGTAGCCCTCGTCGGCCCCACTTAGGCCCCACGTCGGCCCCACCTAGACCACGTCGGCTCCTCGTCGGCCCCGCCTAGGCCCCACGTCGGCCCCGCGTAACCCCCCGTCGGCCCCGTTTAGGCCCCACGTCGGCCCCGCGTAGCCCCGCTTAGGCCCGTCGGCCCCGCTTCGGCCCCGCTTTGGCCCCGCGTCGGCCCCGCCTAGACCCCGTTGGCCCCGCGTTGGCCCTGCTTAGGCCCCGTCGGCCCCGCGTTGGCCCCGCTTAGGCCCCGCCGGCCCGCCTAGGCCCCACTTCGGCCCCTCGTCGGCCCCGCACAGACCTCGTCGGCCCCGCCACGGCCCTACGCCGGCCCCGCTTCAGCTGCTGTCGGCCCCGCTACAGCCCGCACCGGCCCCTACTACAGCCCGCCCCCGGCCCAGCTACAGCCCGCCGCCGGCCCAGCTACGGCCCGCCGCCGGCCCAGCTCCAGCCCGCCGCCGGCCTCGCTACAGCCCGCCACCGGCCCCTGCTACAGCCCGCCGCCGGCCCAGCTACAGCCCGCCCCGGCCCCGCTACAGCCCGCCGTCGGCCCGCCGTCGGCCCCGCTACAGCCCTCCCCGCGGCCCCTGCTGCAGCCCGCCGTGCTGCACGTGAGCAGCCCCAGCAGCCCGCGCCGCCCGTGAGCCCCTACGCCACCCGAGCCGCGCGAGCCGCCCGAGCCGCCCGAGCCGCCCGAGCCGCCCGAGCCGCCCGAGCCGCCCGAGCCGCCCGAGCCGCCTGAGGAGCCGTGCTGCTGTTCCTGAGCTGTGTTCCTCTGCTGCTGACCTACCCGACTCTCCCAGCCCGGTGAGACTTTCAGCTGCTGCCATGGCCACCCCCAATGTTCTTACTTTTGACGCTGAGGGGAGGGCCATTGACTTTGCCGTCTGGATTGAAGACCTGCAGCTGTACTTACTGTGTGATGCGATAGATGAAGTCTCTCTCTTTGACTTTGTCTCTGGCGCTGTCCCTGCCCCACCTGCTGATGCTGACTCTGCCGTTCGCTCCAAGTGGGCGACCCGCGATGCTGCTGCACGTCTTGCTGTGCGTCGCCACCTCCCTTCCTCTGAGCGTGCCCACTTTAGTCAGTGAGAGACCGCTCAGGCCTTGTACGACGCTGTAGTTGCACGCTACTCCTCCCCTTCCTCCGCTACCCTTAGCCGCCTCATGCTACCGTTTCTCTTCCCTGACCTCGCTTCCTTTCCCACTGTCGCTGACCTCGTTACCCACCTCCGTGCTAGTGACACCCGCTACCGCGCTGCCCTTCCTGCTGAGTTCCGCGCTGCGAACCCTCCTCCCATGTACATCACTCTCTACTTTCTCGTCACCCGTCTCCCTGAGTCCCTTCGTGTCGTTAGGGACCAGTTTCTCTCTGTCTGTCCCACCACTCTCACTATCGACCTCCTTGAGGAGTCCCTACTAGCGGCTGAGAAGACTATTGTCGCTGTAGGGGCCTCTCGGGGTGACCCTCGCACCCCCATCTTTGAGGGGTGTGGTCCTTCCCCCCTGCTGCCCTCTGTCGCCTCTGCCGCTGCGGCCGACCTCACTGGTTTTGAGTCGGTCGGCGCGGCGTCTGCCCCCAGCGGCAGACGCCGCTCTGGCAAGGGCAAAGGGGGCAAGGGAGCGGGTGGAGCTAGAGGGGGCGGTGGAGGAGGCGGTGGGGGTGGCGGGGGGAGTGGGGGTGGCGGTGGGGGTGGTGGCGGGAGTGGAGGTACTGGTGGCGGCGGTGGAGGCGGAGGTGGCGGCGGAGGTGGTAGCGGAGGAGGCGGTGGGAGCGGTGGGAGCGACGGTCCTGGTGGGGAAGGTGGCGGTGGAGACGGGGGTGGCGGTGGAGGCGGGGGTGGCGGTGGAGGCGGGGGTCGGAGTGGCTCGTCCCAGCGGAGCAGCTCTGGGGGTGGTCAGCGCCAGCAGCAGCAGCAGCAGCAGCCACAGCAGCAGCAGCGCTCTCGCACCGTCCCCGGCCCTCAGCAGCTCCGTGAGTGGTACTTGCAGCGTCAGCGTGGTGGTGCGCTTGGTCCCTGCCCCTACCTTCTTCGCACCGGTGACCGTGCAGGGGAGAGGTGTGGAGGCGCCCACACAGCCCGCCGCTGCTTTGGCCGCCTAACCGACGCCTGGCGTCAGCAGTTTCCGGAGGCCGCTGAGATCCCCCGCTGGGGAGAGCTGTCTAGGGCTGGTGTAGCTATTTATGATCTTGATTTTGATGCTATTCTCTCTGCTATGTATGCTGTGACTGGTAGTGATGAGGATGACTGTTACCGGTGTTTCCCGCCCGACCCGGGCATTGGTACTGCCGCGTCAGGTACTAGTGAGGCTGCTGCTCTAGGTGCCAGTGCGTCTGTGCTCTCAGGTGCTGGTGAGTCTGCCCTCTCAGGTACTGTGTCGGCTTCGGCCTCTCACACCTTCACCCTTGACTCTGGAGCGTCTCGCTCCTTCTTTAGGGACCGCACCACTCTCACGCCGCTGAGTCGGCCGGTTGCGGTGTCCCTGGCTGACCCCTCTGGGGGGCCTGTCCTGTCTCGCTTCTCCACTGTCCTCCCGTGTCCGGCGGCCCCCTCTGGCACCCTGACTGGTCTCTACCTCCCCTCGTTCTCTACGAACTTGGTGAGTGGTGCTGACCTCCAGGATGCGGGGGTCCACCAGTTCACCCCTGCTGGTCAGCGGGTGACCCACTGCACGGAGGCGGATACAGGTGGCCACCTGGCTACGTTTACACGTCGGCCAGGGTCAAGCCTGTACACACTGACCACTGCTTCTCCTCCAGGTGCTACGTCTGGTAGGGTCCCTTCGTCTGGTCAGGTGTTTGCTGCAGCGTCCAGGTCTGGTCCTGAGTCTGCCCCCTGCTCGTGTCGTCGTCTGTCTCACGAGACCCTCCTCTGGCACCACCGCCTTGGCCACCCCTCTCTGCTTCGGCTCAGAGGCATGGCCTCGCGAGTCCTTGTGTCTGGTCTTCCCCGGTCTCTCCCTCCCCTTCCTCCGGGCCCTGGCCCTACCTGTGTCCCCTGTGTCGAGGGGCGCCAGCGTGCTGCCCCTCACTCCTCCCAGTTTCCTCCGACAGAGGCCCCGTTGCAGACGCTTCACATGGACGTGTGGGGCCCAGCCCGCGTCCGTGGACTCGGTCACGAGCGCTACTTCCTGCTGGTGGTTGACGACTACTCGCGTTACACCACAGTCTTCCCCTTGCGCAGCAAGGGTGAGGTCACTGAGGTGTTGATCGACTGGATCCGCGCAGCTCGTCTCCAGCTTTGGAGGAGCTTTGGCTCTGACTTCCCTGTCTTGCGTCTGCACTCGGACAGAGGCGGAGATTTCTCCTCTGGCCTCCTGAGTGCCTACTGTCGTGCGCGAGGCATCCGTCAGACCTTCACGCTTCCGAACTCACCACAGCAGAATGGGATTGTTGAGCGCCGCATTGGCATGGTCATGGACGTCGCTCGTACGTCCATGATGCATGCGGCTGCCCCCCATTTTCTGTGGCCGTTTGCGGTCAGTTACGCTGCGCACCAGATCAACCTCCACCCCAGGGTCTCTCGACCGGAGACCTCCCCAGCCCTGCTGTGGACCGGGAAGGTTGGCGATGCGTCGGCGTTCCGGGTCTGGGGATCTCGGGCGTTTGTTCACGACCTGTCTGCGGACAAGCTGTCCCCTCGTGCTTCTCCCTGCGTCTTCCTGGGGTTCCCCCCCGACGCCCCTGGGTGGCAGTTTTACCACCCCACCTCTCGACGTGTTCTGTCCTCCCAGGACGTCACGTTCGACGAGTCGGTCCCCTACTACCGCCTCTTCCCCTACCGCACTCCGTCCCTCCCCCCACCCCCGCTCTTCTTGGTACCAGGTCCCCCCCCGGTAGCCCCCCTCCCCCCTCAGGGTCCTGCCCCTTCAGGTGTGTCCCAGGTAGACGCGGTCGAGCCTGTCGAGGTCACTGGTGACTCTGGTGCTGCTGCGGGAGCTGAGCTTGGGGGTGCGGAGTCTGGGGGTGCTGAGCCTGGGGGTGCTGAGCCTGGGGGTGCTGTACCTGGGGGTGCTGAGCCTGGAGGTGCCGAGCCTGGGGGTGCTGTGCCTAGGGGTGCTGTGCCTAGGGGTGCTGAGCCTGGGGGTGCTGCGCCTGGGGGTGCTGTGCCTGGGGGTGCTGAGCCTGGAGGTGCCGAGCCTGGGGGTGCTGAGCCTGGGGGTGCTGTGCCTTGGGGTGCTTCGTCTCGCCGGGAGCCACTCTCCCCACAGGAGCTGCGTGAGTGGTTTGCCAGGCGCTGGAGGCGTGCTGCTGGTGCTGGTGGTTCTTCGGCT